ATTGATAATTACAAACAAAGAGAATCGAGTGCCATTTTTTATTATATTGGGGTATAATTTCATAATTTATTATTAACGGGACTACAACATTATTGTAGTTTCTTTTAGTCTTTCCAAATTTTGGGGATGAATACAGTGAACATGTATAGGAATTTGGTCGATTCGTTCTCTTGCGCTGGTCACTTCTTATAATTTTTTAGAGATACTTTTGAAATAATACCATGGTTTGGTATGTTGATTTAAACTGTCAGGTTATTTTTTCTGCAAAAATTGTCCAGCAGAGAGTAGACCGGGCCGAACTTTGAATATCCTCCACCATTTGGATCGAATTTAGAAATTTAAAATAAAAAATAGAATCCGTTAAAAATTGTGTTAAAATCTTAAAAATACGGAATATGGCCGTTATATTAGGGTCTATACGAAGACGTGGACCTGCATAGGCAACTTTTGTCATAATCCATTACAATATTTAAATGCGAATCTTGATAAAAATTCGGTAATAATGTACCTAAAATCATCAAAATGCCGAATATAGGGAGGTACTCGTACGGGGGGCTATACGAAGACGTGGACCTGCACAGACAATTTTCTGTCACAGGCTGTAGTACCCATTAGGAACTTCAAATACGAAATTTCAAACAATTTCGATGAATATTGTAGCTAAAATCTCAAAATACCGAATACAGGAATGTACTGGTATATGGGGCCTATACGAAGACCTGGACCTGCATAAATATTTTTCTGTCACAGACTGTAGTTCCCATTACGAACTCTAAATACGAGATTTAAAAAAACTCCGGTGAATAATCTCGCTTAAATCATCAAAATACCGAATATTGGGAGGTACCGTTATATGGATACGAAGACATGTCATAGGCTTGCGAATTCTTAATACGAAATTTTGAAACAGCTCCGGTGAATAATGTCTCTAAAATCGTCAAATCGGTGGTACCGTTGTATCACTTGTCTGCAGACAAAAGACTGATCTATGCAAAAATTTAGCTTTCTATCTTTATCCGTTTTGACTCTAGCGTGTTTACCACAGACGGATGGACGGTCGAACAGGGTTAAATCGTCTTAGAATTTTACGATGATTAAGGATATATATACTTTGTTATGTCTAAAATTATTATTTCGATGAGTTACAAACGGAATGACAAACTTAATATATACTGCCACAGGAGAAAGAGATCACTATGGAATCCAAATATCGAGATTTAAGCTATTCCGCTGGAAACTAAAGTTAAAATTGTCAAAATACCGAATTTTTGGCGAAAAAATTATTTGGATTCATACAAAGACGTTGACCGATATAGCTCGTCTTCGAATTTTAGCTTCATACAACATGGCATTTGGACTCCAGCGTGATTACAAGAGATGGATGGACATGGCTAAATCGACTTAGAATTTCACGAGGATCAAGAACTTATATACAAATATTCTTCATTTAAGTTAACTATGAGCCATAATATATCAAGAAAATATTTGCATTAATCTTGCCAAAAAAAAACAAAAAAAAAAAACAAAAATATTTCCTAATTTTTTGGATTAAATTTTTCTCGTCCCTTTTTTGAATTGGTACAGGAGAGCAAGGTACAATTTTGTTGTGGGGAGAAAGTGTAAAAAAAAATATTCTACATACAATTTTGCTATAATCTCAGAGTAAACAATATATATACATTGCAAATGAAAATTATGTGTTTGCGTTGTTTACGTTGTCCATGCTGCATCTATTTTTTTTTCATTGTGGGTCCCAGAAGGAAAGAATTGAGTGTACTTAATATGTACCATAAAAAATATTACGATTTTTTACAACGAGTAAAAAAAATGTTGGTGGGTGCTGAGCTTTAAATACCCTCCACCATTACCTAAAGAAAAAAGTTTAAATTAAAGTATTTGGATTCAAACGCGTTCCCCTCTAAGCTGCAAATACCAGTTAGATCGGTTGGATAATGCAGTTACAGTTTTCAAAAAACAAAAAAGTGGGTGGAGACATTTGTGAGAATGACACTTTTAAAAACTAAAACTTAATTTGGTATAAGAATCATGTTTGATTTATGAAGGTGGCTTTGGCAGTGTGTACTTAGAGTGCGAACTGTACTAAATGGTACTAAATTTAAAACCACTTGGTTTGGGGTGAACGTATGAAGCCGGTACTGGGGTACCTTTTGGTGGTAGGTTTGTGATGAAGAAGTGGTCTTGGAAACGTGAACTACAAGTGCACGAAAAGTACTAAATAGTACTATATTTTGTACAATTTCATACTTGGTGAACAAATAGCGAAATTTGATATTCAGATAACTCTTGATATCTGTGTTTGAGATTTACCGGTGGTTTGGAAATGCGTCCTATATTTGTACCAAAACTAATAAATGGTACTAAATATGGTGCAGTTTGATTTAGGGTTTACGGATGAAGCTGGAATTTTGAGATTTTGTATTGGGGTCCCTGTTGGTGGTTGGTTTTTGATAAAGATGTGTAATTCTAAATATATACTGCAAGTGCACGAAAAGTACTAAACGGTACTATATTTGCTACAATTTGGAATAGTGCTTCAATACAATTTGGAATATTAGGGTCCCTGTTCGTGTGTAGCCTGGAAATATGAAGTTGGTTTCGAAAATGTGTATTTTAATTGTACGAAAATTACTGAACGGTACTATATTTGGCATTGGGATAAAATTCTCAAATTTTATATTGAGAAAAGGAGGTGGTTTCAGATATACTTACTATAATTATACAAACTGGTACTAAATTTACAGAGCTGAATGAAATTTAAAATTAAGGCCACTGTTGGTATCTGAGGTTGAGGTATAGAGATTGTTTTGAAAATGCGTACCATCAGCCGATTTTTATACAAATCGTCCGTGTTAAACTTAAGTTTTAAAGGTTTTTCGGTTTGCTCGGTTAATTTTCCGATATCAGCCCTTGTTTTCAAAATAACCACACTAGGACATTTAATTTTCAGGATTTTTAAGTTATAATATGAATAAAACAAAAAAAATTAAATTTATTCAAAAAACCAAAATATTATTTTTTGATAAAAACAAGTAAAAAGCTGTAAATTTAACAATTTTCAAAAAAATAAAATCCGTTAAAAATTCTGTCAAAATCTTAAAAATACCGAATGCAGCCATCTATGTTAGGGTCTATACGACGACGTGGACCTGCATAGGCAACTTTTGTCACAATCTATTACAATATTCAAATGCGAAACTTGAAAAAAAATCTGTTTATAATGTAGCTAGAATCATTAAAATACCAAATATAGGGAGGTACCATGGGGGTTATAAAACGTGGACCTGCACAGACAATTTTCTGCCATAGGCTGTAGTATCCATTACGAACTTCAAATACTAAATTTAAAATAGTTCCGATAAATAATTTCTCTAAAACCACCAAAATAATCAAGATCGGGATGTAGCGTTATATAGGGGCTATACGAAGACCTGCACAGACAATTTTCTGTCTTGGGATGTAGTATCCATTTTGAACTTCAAATACTAAAATTAAAATAATTCCGGTAAATAATGTCGCTAAAATCATCAAAATACCGAATATTGGGAGGTACCGTTAGATGGTCCATTTACTAACTTAACTGCCTACTGGCTAAATAAACATGTGTGCAAAATTTTAGCCTTCTATCTCAATTCTTTCGAAAGAGAGCGTGATTACAACAGACAGACAGGCGGACAGCGCTAAATCGACTTAGAATTTTACGCCGATCAAGTATTTCGAGTAGTTACAAACGGAATGACAAAGTTAATATACCCTCCATAGTATGGTGGATGGTATAATAAAGTGTTATCGAACTAGTGCAGCTGAAAAGTTTGTACTAGGTATTAAGTTGTGTTTGGAAATGTTGTCCAAGAAATAATGAACAAATTCTTTATTTTGAGTAGTAAAATGAACTTGTAGATAATAGTCCTTGTAGAATTAATTTAAAAGGTTCCCATCTTGGTATGGACCAATATAACGGGCCCACTCACTTTATTGTTTTTTGAAAACTTTAACTGCATTCTCCAACCGATCTTAATGGTATTTGTAGTTTGCTGGATTTCCAAGCTTTTAAAATAGTTTAATAATATAAAAAAATTAAAAATATGTTTCAAAAACAGAATATTATTTTTTGATTACAAACAATATTTAACTATTAGGTCAAAAGCGTGAATTGAAAGAAATTATGTTTTTAAAAAAACTTTATACTTTTTGTTTTAGTACACTCGCATCAGAAATGTTCCAGGCATAGCTCATGTATTATTCTTAACAATACCAGCCAAACAAATAAAAAAATTTCGGTCAACCCCACACAATTCGAAATACAAACATTGAAATTCGTATGTATCAAGGCATTCAAAATCTTATGGATATGGTAAGAATTTATTTTTAAATTTTTCGTTTTTAGGAATTGTTTAAAAAAAATTGACGTTGGAAAGGAAATTCAAATTCTAGAAAGTAGGAATTGAACTTGTAACTTGAATTCCTTGAAAATTATTAAACAATGAAATTCGTGTTAAAATGAACAGTGGCAAATTTTCCGATTTCAACATTATTTAGTAAATATCAACCTGTCAATAGAATAAGATTGGAAAATTTATTTTTTTTTTTCAAATAGGGAAATGGCGAATTTTAAATCAGTAATGTAAACATTGTTCAGGGTAAATAGAGAAAGGGTTGCGCAGTAATTGGACCAAAACTAACTAAAGCAAAACAACAACAAATGTAATCAGCAACTTTGGCATTATTACGCGAAGGTCAACATCATCACCATTAGCAGTAGCAGCAGCAGTAGTAGCAGTAACGGCAGCAATAAGTTATCAGTGGCACACCAGCTAGAACATCATTATTGCTTTCATCATTTTCTTATTTAATTTCATTATTGTCATCAGCAACGTTGGCCGCTGTTCAGTTGATTAAATAGAAATTTGCTGAGGAGAGATTGCGATTTCCCTGGAATGCACCATCCCGCCCTCTAGCATCAACGCCATTCACAGCAGAACAGCGAAAAACCTCCAAGCTAAGGTATAAAAGCTGGGCACTGTTTCCATTTCAACAGCAGTAATTGACAGCAACTGGTCAAGTGCTATTGAAGAGTTTTGTTGTTCTTGTTGTGTCCATTTTTATTCCCTGATTGTTTGCCAAAACATGAATAAGATTTTGGTGAGTAGCATTGGAGGTCCTGGAAAATTGCGTGTTTTTCCCCGTCTTTGTCTGTCAGTGTTGCCGAAAGTCATGAAGATTGATGGACAGAAGAAATCATGAAGTTAAAGGCAAAACAAAAGAAAAAAACAATCATTTTTATTTTGTTTTCTTCGTCTCTCGTTTCAGGCGACATTCGTTGCCATGGCAGTCATCAATTGTGCTGTCAATGGTTTGCCATATGGCGGAGGTGGAAGCAATAAATATGGTGGCTATGGAAGTGGAGGAGGCGGGGGAGGAGGATTTGGAGGTGGTGGTGGAAGTGGCGGTGGAGGTTTTGGACCAGGTGGCGGCGTAGGACACAGTGGTGACGCTGGAGGATTCGGTCCTGGCTCAGGTGGTGGTCACGGTGGTGGCCTAGGTGGAGGCGGAGGCAAAGGCAGTGGTGGCGGTGGAGGTTTTGGTTCCGGCTCTGGTTCTGGCTTGGGAGGCGGTAGTGGAGGCTTTGGTCCCGGTGGAGGACATGGTGGTAGCGGTGGTCCTGGCAGCGGTGGCCATGGTGGTGGTCTAGGCGGCGGTCATGGTGGTGGTGGAGGCAGCGGTGGAGGTTTCGGATCTGGCCTAGGTGGTGGAAGTGGTGGCGGTGGTTTCGGACCAGGTGGCGGTAGCGGCGGCCATGGTGGTGGTCCTGGCGGTGGCCATGGAGGCGGTCCAAGTGGTGGCAATTCCCTATCGCAAGGCAGCGGTGGCGGTCGTGGTAGTGGTGGAGGCCGTGGTGGTGGTGGTGGGAGTGGATTTGGTTCAGGCACCGGTTTTGGAAGCGGAAGTGACGGCCACAGCAGTTTCTCTAGCAGCAGCGCTAGCTTGGGCCGCGGCCCAGGATCTGGTGGACATGGCAATGGTCTTGGTGGCGGTTTGGGTTCAGGTTCCGGTTCAGGTTTTGGAAGTGGTGGCGGCAGCGGCTTCGGTGGAGGCCATGGCAGCGGCAATGGTTTCGGTGGTGGCGGCGGCGGTGGCTACGGTGGTGGAGGCGGTGGCGGCTATGGCGGTGGTGGTTACAAAAAACATGGTTACTAATTCCAAACCCGTTCAATGAAAACTGCATCGATTACTGTGATGATTACTTAATGTAAAATAAAACCGGTTACACATTATTATTATTTTTTTTTTTTACAAAATATATATATTTTTTATGTTTTTTCTCTAATTAACCTTTTATTTTTTGGTAAAACATTTTTAGAACTTTCAAATTATGGGGTTCCTCGCTTCATTTACAGCGCACAATGGCCACCAAAACCACCGGATACCAATCCGTTGGACTATTGTGTCTCCAGTATTTTGGAAAGCGTGTGACATTCGGGCAGCATGTGACGGTTTCATTGGCCGTTTGAAGGCCAACGGTGACCAATTCGAACAAATCTTAACTTATTCTAAAATTTGATGCTATTTCTGACTTTTTTGGTTTCATTCAAGAAAATTAAAAAAAAAATTGGCGTTTGACTTTGTTGCAGTTTTTTTATCTCACCCTGTATTTGTCATATTTGTTATTGCATGCGATTTTCTTATTTTGATTTACAATTATGAATTGTACATTGTGCACAACACTATATGTTGAGAGTATTATATAGCTGTCGCAATTATGGTCCGATACTCACGAAATTTTGCTTGGGGAAAGGATTAGGGTCAGAATTAAAGCCTATTGTTGTTGGAGATGTACACATAAAGGTTCAAATGGACCAAAAAAATTAAAATTTTGCTGATTTTGCAGTTGCCCTACAGGTCACAATTGAAACCAAATCAACAGGGAATTTTGCATGGGAATAGAGTTAGGGACAAGGCCGAGATCTAACATTTTGAATGACCATTTTATTATATTTAGCTGAAAAAATGGACCACAACTTTTGTGTGAAATTATTTTGAATACCTAACAACACGATGGAGTGCGTGAATATTAGGCAAATGTACCTTGTCGTAAAGCTAAGGTAAAAAACGAAATTTTCCAAAATGGATTTGGACATAAGAGGGCTTCCAACATATTGTATTGTTGTACGGTATCATATGGTCCGCCCCTTACGACTATAGCCTTTGCTTGTTTTTTTTTTTTTTTTTTTTGACTCCCGAATGTAACATAAAAATTTCGTCCGAAATGTGTCAGAAGATGAAATATTCAACATAAAATCTCACTATAAATCTCAGAATAAAGTATATACCAAAGTGCAATAGATTTTATGAACATTTTATTCAAAACAAGTCAAAAAGCAGTAAGAACTTTGAATACCCTCCACCATTTGGAACAAACTAGGAAATGTTCACAAAAAAAAAAAAAAAATAAAATCCATTAAAAATTCTGTTCAAATCTTAAAAATACCCAATATCGGAAGGTACCGATATATGGGGGGGGGGATATACGATATTGTGGACTTATATAGACAAGTCTATGTCTAGAATTTCAGGCAATTCCGTTGAGAAATGTGGCTAAAATTATCAAAATACCGAATATCGGGGGGTACGGTTATATGGGGGATATACGATATCGTAGAGCTATATAGATAATTCTCTTTCAGGGAGTAAAGTACTCACAAGGAACTCCTTGTGTGGAATTTAGACAATTCCATTGGAAAATGTGGCTAAAATAGTCAAAATAGCGAATATCGGAAGGTGCCGTTATATGGGGGCTATACGACATCGTGGAGCTGTATAGACAATTATCCCTTTATACTTCATATTTTGGGGAAATTGTCAAAGTAAGAATTATTCTAGACCAACTTTCATTGTGATTCTCTGAAGAAAATAATTTTTATCTATAACTATCTGAACCCGGTGCGCTTCGCTACCCCTTTTGACTTTATATGCATACAAAATTTCATATACGAATATATGTTTGCTTAAAAAACTAAAACAAATTCAAAAATTTAAAAATCGGAATTATTGTAATACTTTATTGCGAAAAAAACAAATAGCTGTCTCCCGACGCGTCAACATTCCAGGAACAGCTGACCATGAGAAAAGCAGGAATATGCCAAATGTAGTCTTCCTTCGGATTTATTAATTTCAATCTGAACCGATGAAATTGTACTGAAATTTGACAAAAATTACTTTTACACCTTCCATATTTCATTGAAATTGTTGCGTCAAATACGTGAAATCGACCGAAAATACCTATATGGGAGCTTTATCCAAATCTTAACCGCTTTCCAATTAATTTGTCAAATTTACTATTTTAACCAAATTCCGCCACAGATTCTTAATTTAATTGGAATCGGTTATATATATAGTGTTTGGTGAATAACATACATGAAATCGGCCGAAATATATATAAGGGAGCTATACTGAAACATCAACCGATTTCAATATAACTTGAAGTAAATTTTTTGGAGGTACCTTCGATTCTGCTGCTATATCTCCAGTTCCAAGTGGAATTTTAAAAAATGTCTATAGCCTATGTTACCTTCAGGCGATGTTGTAGTATAATTGGGAATTTTCAGGAAAATCTGTTCAGCGGCTTTCGAGTCCATAATTTACAAACAAACATACAAACAATTTCTTCTTTTATAGATATAGAAGAAGATGTACCATAAAATGTGTGGCTTTTTTCTTTTGAAAAATGTAAGTAATTTTTGCCCGATTTGCTGCAAATGTACAATAGCCAGTCTTAGCTGTGGGAAATACCAAATAGATTTGATAGTACTCGTTTTAGATCAAAACATCGTAACATTTTGGATAGAGTTTTGAATTTTGATAACTCAGATTTCCTTTATATTTTAGAATCAGATTCTTTTTCAATAGAAAAATCTCCTTATCAGTCACTAGATTGCCATACACCTACACTTTCAATAAAATTTCATAATAAGCCTTTTCTAAGCTCATTTACGCTTTATAAAATACTAAAAATTCAAAATAAAAAGTATTTACTAAAGTACACCATTTCGGATGAAATTCTACAGTCAGTTCAATATTCAATTATATAATACTCTTCATTTACTTACGTCACGTATTTCCAGCGGCTGTAAATCGTAATCCTCACTTTCGGGTGAAAAACAAATGATGTCGTAATGACAGGTCATGTCTGAAATGAAAGAAGACAAAACATTAAATACATAGGCATACAAATATGGGAGGTAGTTGAGTGATGGGTGACTGGATATATTGGATGAGAAAGAAAAATGGCTAAGAATGGATAACGATGCAAGTAAGAATGCAAATGTTGTCGAAAACCTATTAGTTACACTGTAAACACACAAAAAAAATAATTACAGAAAAGTAAATACTTATTATGAAGAAGGAGGCATGTGCCACATACGGAGGACGACATACCACTTTTAACGCCTTTTAAAAATATTCCACATAATTGTCTTTTCATGTTTCCATTTAATATTTCGTGTGGCCTTCGAGTAGGTTTGTTATAAATTAGCATTAGGTTGATATAAAGAAAGGCAAGGAGAGCACAGCACTACCTCGGCAGATAAACCAGTTAAGAAAGGTCAAGAGTCGGGCGGGGCCGACTTTTTGTTACCCTACACCACAATGCTTATTAAGGTGGGCTATCTGCAGTAAAAAAAAACGTTAATATAGGGAATTTATGAGGAGTAGATCATACTAACTATCCAGCAAAAAACCCAAGGAAAATTCCTCACTGTTGTAAACGAAGATTTTCTACATTAGACATGGTAGCGCTAGCTATATCGCAGAATTCACTGGTGAAAATATAAAGAAATGTCATTGTTTATTTCATTTTCAACTGCTTCGAGTTCCTCCTTATTGGAAACAATTCTTTATACTTCTGTTTTTCAAGTCCTGGGTTAGATGGGTTTTCAATATAACGTTGATTTCTGATAGTACTGCAGTAATTATAAAGACGACACACAATTGTTTACGTACAGAAATTCATAGGAAATACATCTACTTACTTCAACTTTATCAAAAAACAGTTTTGCTACACAACAACAAAAAAAGACACACAAAAAATATCCCGTTATATATCTTCAAACGTGCGTAGAGACGTCCGTCTACATCACAATCAAATCACAAACTGATTACATAATCGAATAATAACTCGAGAGCATGCAAGTGAGATCCTAAAACCATAGGTACGAACATTACCGATCTTAACTTCGTGGTGCTTTCAAGTGTGCAACCGTGTAAATGAGAACGGAAGCTCCCACATACTTTACTGAGGAAAAGTTGCGCTTCACCCGTTTTTATACCCTCCACCTTGGAAAGGAGGGTATATTAACTTTGTCATTCCGTTTGTAACATCCTTAAATATTCGTCGAAGACCCCATAAAGTATATATATTCATAATCAGCATAAAATTCTAAGTCGATTTAACGATGTCTGTCTGTCCGTCTGTCTGTCTGTCTGTTGAAATCACGATACAGCCCACATTATTTGACGTAGAGCGCCAAAATTTAGCAGAGCAATTGGTATTGTGTCTAGGATGGTTGGTATTGAAAATGAGATATATCGGTCGACGTTCTGGTATAGTCCCCATATAACGGTACCTCCCGATATTCGGTATTTTGATTATTTATGCCACATTATTTAACGGATTTGTCTGAAAATTGGTATTTGTAGGTCATAACAGGTCCCTGTATGTGTGGCAAAACATAGCATATATAGGTCCACGTTTTGGTATAGCCTTCATATAATGGTACCTCCCGATATTCGATATTTTGATTATTTTTGCCACAGCTTTTAACGGATTTGTCTAAAAATAGGTATTTGTTGGTCATAATGAGTTCCAGCTCCGGTGGCGAAACATTGCATGTATGGGTCCATGATTTGGTATAGCCCCCATATAACGGTACCTCCCGATATTCGGTATTTTGATGGTTTTTGCAACATTTTTTCACTGATTTGTGTAAAAATTGATATTTGTGAGTCATAATGGGTCCTAGTTCGTGTGGCGAAACATTGTATGTATAGGTCCACGTTTTGGTATAGTCCCCATATAACGGTAGCTCCCAATATTCGGTATTTTGATGATTTTTGACTGATTTTTACACGAATTTCACTGAAAATTTGGTAGTTGTAGATCATAATGGGTCCCAGTTCGTGTGGCGAGTCATTGTAATTATAGGTCCACGTTTTGGTATAGCCCCCATATAACGGTACCTCCCGATATTCGGTAATTTGATGATTTTTGCCCCCTTTTTCACGTATTTGTCTGAAAATTGGTATTTGTAGGTCATAATGGGTTCTAGCTCC